TGTCCATGGGGCCTCCATGACCTTTCCTTGTACAGGTTGTGTTACTTTGCCCTGTATTGTGTACTGTCTCACCCTTCACCCAAGATACCACTTGTCTATTGCCTATGTAATATTCCCCCCCGCCCCATCCCTGGTAACCTCTACCTCCCACTGTTGTTAGACGGCCCTTTCAGAATTCTAGGTTGTCTGAGAGTGGAGTGGGAGGCTGGGTATGACATGATTTTCTGAGCTCGTCCATTGACACAACAAATATTTATTGAGCAACTACTATGTGCTTGACACTGTTCTGCAGCAGTGAGCAAGACAGACCAGATCTCTCTGATCTTATTTTACTTCAGGAGACAGTGAATAAGTACACAATAAATAATCTCAAATAATCTCAAGTGCTATAAGGAAAACAAAACAGCGTAGGTAAGTTGACCTGGCAGTGAGGAAAAACAGCCAGACATGCTGCTGTTGGGATTGAATTAAAGTTGTTTCTTGTCTTTGGCTTGGCCAGTTGGTTAGATAGTGCCATTCACCAAGCTTGGGGAGGGCAGGGGCATCAAGAGCACTGTTTTGCAGATGTTATATTTGAGAATCTAATCACCATCCAAATAGAGGTGTCAACTAGGTAGTTGGATACACATGTTGGCAGCTCGGGAGAGAGTTCCCCACCTCCCACAGAGGGTGTACCCAATGCCGAGGCTGCTCTGAGAGTGTTGGGCCATCTTGGGAGAGCCTGTGGTCCCACTGGTGAAATAAATAGCCATTGGTTCTTGACTTCCTGTCTCCACACAGCTGTGCTCTTCCGAGGCAAATCTGCAAAATATGGCCCCAAAGACAGTAGCCTAAGATGGCAAACCAGTTAACTCTGATATTTCTTTTGCTGTACTGCGTATGCCCTCTTGACACCAGGAGAAATTTTAATAGCACTGAACCTAATCCAAAGCCTCCCTGATAGGAATTCCTAAAATCTTAGATGGACTTTGCATATCAGTACAAAGATTAACAGCTCAATTTTTTTTAAGCTTTGCCTCCTTATAGGCCAAATAGAATCTTTAAATATTAACAAAAAGACGTGTTTTGTTTATTTAAACATTTTTTCCTAAGAGCTTTTTTATCTATGAATTAAAAAAAAAATCATAAATTAAAAAATTGAATCTTAAAATTTTTATTAACGTTTCAGGAGTATTTATTTTTTAAAGGAGAATCTTCTGGCATTTGAATCAAACTTTCTAATACAGTAGCCTCCCCTCTCCCCTAATCCATGGTTGTGATTTCCATGGTTTCAGTTATCCATAGTCAACCACAGTCTGAAAATGTTAAATGAGTAGTGTGATAATCTTGAACTATCCAGCTCCATCCCGCTCCGGGACCACATTCACATAACTTTTATTATAGTATATTGTTATAATTGTATTTTATTATTAGTTATTGTTGTTAATCTCTTACTGTACCTAATTTATAAATTAAACTTTATCACAGGTGTGTGTGTAAAGAATAAAACATAGTATTTATAGGGTTCAGTACTATCTGTGGTTTCAGGCATCCATGGGGGTCTTGGAACATATCTCCAGCAGATAAGTGGGGACTGCTGTAATTTGTGTTTAATATCTCTGGTAGACACAGCTAGTTGCTTACCAAATAGCCATCCTCTCCTTCCTTACACTAATAAAGCTCTCAATCTGTTGATGTATAAGGCAATCATATTCTTCAGGGAAGGCTGCTCCTGGTATAGCTCCAGGGGGTAAATCTTGATTAACCTATGCCAATCATGGTAATTCTTTCCCTTATCAGTGATTGGTTTAGGAAGGGACACATGATGCAGTTATGGCCAATGAGATGGAAAGGCTTTATGGGAAGTGTTTAATTGTTCTTAAAAAGGGTCTTGAGGAAGGAATGCTGCCTTCCCCAATCCTGTGCATCCTGCTTTCTGGCCTTTGGATATTGTGAAAGTACATGATGTCTGGACCTACCCTAGCCAAGTTGGAATCACGAGGGGAGAAGCAGACACACTGAGGATGGCATGATGGAAAGATCAATGAATCTGGGTTCTTATTAACTTCATGGAACCGCTGAGTTAACGAACCCTCAGACCTTCCTACTTCTGCCCTTCTTATTTGTGAAGGTTATAAAACTGTTTTTGTTGTTTAAGCCACTTGGGTCTCCTCTTTTCTGTCATTTTGTCATACTGTGGTGGCTTGAGTGTTGCTGTGAGGCTGGAAGCTATGCCACCGGTGTTTCAAATACCAGCAGGATCACCTATGGTGGATACGTATCAGGAGCTTCCATGCTAAGATAGAGTATGAAGAAGGACCTGACTATCTACTTCTAAAAGAAAAAAAATCATCCTGTGAGAACCTTACGAATAGCAGCAAAACATTGTCTGATACACTGCTGGAAGATGAGTCCCTCAGGTTGGAAGGCACTCAAAATACGACTGGGGAAGATCTGCCTCCTTAAAGTAGAATCGACCTTAATGATATGGATGGAGTACAGCTTTCGGGACTTTCATTGGCTGATGTGGCACGACTCAGAATGAGAAGAAAACAGCTGCAAACATCCATTGATAATCAGAATGTGGAGTATGAAGTATGAATCTAGGAAAATTGGAAGTCATCAGAAATGAAATGGAACACATAAAGATCAGTATCCTAGACAATCGTGAGCAGAAATGGACTGATATTGGCCATTTTGAATCAGATAATCATATGGTCTACTATGCCAGGAATGACACATTGAAGAGGAATGGCATTGCATTCATCATAAAAAAAAAAAAAAAAAAAAATTTCAAGGTCTATTCTGAAGTACAACACTGTCAGTGATAGGATAAATACATACACCTACAAGGAAGACCTGTTAATACGACTATTGTTCAAATTTATGCACCAACCACTAATGCTGAAGATGAAGAAATTGAAGATTTTTACTATCTTCTGCAGTTTGAAATTGATCAAACATGCAATCAAGATGCATTGATAATTACTAGTGATTGGAAAGGGAAAACTGGAAACAAAGGATCAGTAGTTGGAAAATATGGCCTTGGTGATAGAAACCACACAATAATAGAATTTTGCAAGACCAATGACTTATTCATTGCAAATACCTTTTTCAGCAATATTAATAGCAACTGTACACATGGACCTCACCGATGGAATACACAGGAATCAAATCATCTATATCTGTGGAAAGAGATGATGGAGAAGCTCAATATCATCCTTCAGAACAAGGCTAGGGGCCGATTGTGGAACAGACCATCAATTACTCCTATGCAAATTCAAGTTGAAACTGAAGAAAATTAATACAAGCCCATCCATGAGAGCCAAAGTACGACCTTGAGTATATTGCACCTGAATTTAGAGACCATCTCAAGAATAGATTTGATGCATTGAACACTAATGACCAAAGACCAGATGAGTTGTGGGATGACATCAAAGACATCATACATGAAGAAAGCAAAAGGTCATTAAAAAGACATGAAAGAAAGAAAAGAATAAAATGTATGTCAGAAGAGACTCAAACTTGCTCTTGAATGTAGAGTAGCTAAAGCAAAAGGAAGAAATGATGAGTAAAAGAGCTGAGCAGAAGATTTCAAAGGGCAGCTCTAGAAGACAGAGGAAAGTATCATAACGAAATGTGCAAAGATCTGAAGTTAGAAAACCAAAAGGGAAGAACATGCTTGGCATTTCTCAATCTGAAAGAACTAAAGAAAAAATTAAAGCCTCAAGTTTCAATATTGAAGGATTCTGTGGGCAAAATACTGAACGACACAGCAAGCATCAAAAGTAGATGGAAGGAATACACAGAGTCACTGTACAAAAAGAATCGGCCAACATTCAGCCATTTCAAGAGGTAGCATATGATCAAGAACTGATGGTCCTGAAGGAAGAAGTCCAGTCTGCACTGAAGGCATTGATGAAAAATAAGTCTCCAGGAATTGACAGAATACCAATTGAGACATTTCAGCAAACTGATGTAATGCTGGAAACACTCCCTCATTTTTGCCAAGACATTAGGAAGACAGCTACCTGGCCAACCCACTGGAAGAGATCCATATTTTTGCCCATTCCAAAGAAAAGTGATCCAAGTGAATGTGGAGATTATCGAACAGTATCATTAATATAACATACAAGTAAAATTTTGCTGAAAATAATTCAAAAACAGTTGCAGCAGTGCATCAACAGGGAGCTGCCAGAAATTCAAGCCAGATTCAGAAGAGGATGTGGAAGGGGGGATATCACTTCTGATGTCAGATGGTTCTTAGCTGAAAGCGGAGAATACCAGAAAGACGTTTACCTGTGTTTTGTTGACTCTGCAGATGCATTCAACTGTGTGGATCATAACAAATTATGGATAACATTGCAAAGAATGGGAATTCCAGAACACTTAATTGTGCTCATGAGGAACCTGTACATAGATTAAGAGGCAGTTGTTCAAATAGAACAAGGGAATACTGTGTTATTTAAAATCAGGAAAGGTGTGCGTCAGGGTTGTATCCTTTCACCATATTTATTCAATCTGTATGCTGAGCAAAACTCTGAGAAGCTGGACTATATGAAGAAGAACGGGGCATCAGGATTGGAGGAAGACTCATTAACAACCTTTGAGATGCAGATGACAGCCTTACTTGCTGAAAGTGAAGAGGACTTGAAGCACTTACTGATGAAGATCAAAGACTGCAACCTTCAGTATGGATTACACCTGAACATAAAACAAAATCCTCACAACTGGACCAATAAACAACATCATGATAAGCAGAGAAAACATTGAAGTTGTCAAAGATTTCATTTTACCTGGATCCACAATCAGCACCCATAGAAGCAGCAGTCAAGAAATCAAACGATGTATTGCAGTGGGCATATCTGCCGCAGAAGACCTCTTTAAAGAGTAGAAAAAAAAAAAGAAAAAGATGTCACTTTGAGGACTAAGGTTTGCCTGACCCAAGTCATGGTATTTTCAATCACCTCATATGCATGCAAAAACTGGACAATGAATAAGGAAGACTGAAGAAGAATTGATGCCTTTAAATTATGGTGTTGGCGAAGAGTATTGAATATACCATGGACTGCCAGAAAAATGAACAAATTTGTTTTGGAAGAGGTAAACAGCCAGAATGCTCCTTAGAAGTGAGGATAGTGAGACTTCGTCTCACGTACTTTGGAAATGTTATCAGGAGGGACTAGTCCTTGGAGAAGGACATCATGCTAGGAAAAGTAGAGGGTCATTAAAAAAGAGGAAGACCATCAATGAGATGGATTGATAAGTGACTACAAGAATAGGCTCAAACAGCAATGATTGTGAGGATGGCGCAAGACTGGGCATGGTTTCCTTCTGTTGTACTTAGGGTCACTATTAGTCGGAGCCAACTCAACGGCGTCTAACAACAACGTGACTTATTCAAGGTCACACAGCTTATAAAAGACACAAATAGGATTTACTGGTGTGGGCCTTGGGAGGGAATTTTAGGATTGGCCAGTAGTAGTTGGTTTACATTAGTAGGATAGATTTTCACTCCAACAAAGGAAACTGCCCTGTTATTCAATAGGGTTTACATGGCTTCCCTTTCTATATGCTTCTCTGGAAGAATTTTTTTTTTTTTTTTTTTTTTAAGCATAAGCTATTTAACTACTGTTTTGAAGGATAAACCAACAATTAACATTTTACCCATTTTTTTCCCCCAGTTTGTGACGGAGTTTCTCACATACTAGCTTATTTTATCCTCAGAACAACCATGGAGGGATGTGTGGTGTAATTATTCTCATTTTATGGAGGAGGAAAAGTGTATTTCAAAGAGATTAATTGATCTGCTTTTTTTTTTCATTCATTCTTTCATTCATTGATACAATAACTATTTCTTAAGCACCTACTATGTCTTAGGAACTGGTGATATAATGATTAACTAAACAGACAAGCAAACAAAGCTTCTGCCTTCTTGGAGCTTATAATCTAGGGTAGAGGTTGGCAAACTTTATCCATAAAGGGCCAGATAGTAAATATTTTAGGCTTTGTGGGCCATACAGTCTCTGCTTTAACTATTCATTCTAGCTTTGTAGCATGAAAGCAGCCATAAGCCCCATTCTGACTCGATAGCACACAACAACAATAATGTTTACGGACGCAGACTGCTACATCTTTCTCCCTCAGAGCAGCTGGTGGGTTCAAACTGCTGACTATTGGTTAGCAGCCGAGTTCTTAACCACTGTACCACCAGGGCTCCTTGAAAGTAGTCAAGACAAAATGTAAACAGAGGGCATGACTGTGTTCCCATAAAACTTTATTTACCAAAACAGGTGGTAGGCTGGATTTGGCCCATGGTCCTCCATTTGCAACCCTTGCAATCTGCTCTGGTAAAGATTACAGCCAAGAAAATCCTATGGTACAGTTCTACTTTGTAATACATGGGGTTGCCGTGAGTCAGAACTGACTCAATGGCAACGAGTTTTTTTGTTTTTTGTTTTTTTTGGCTAGGGGAGAAAAACAGACAATAAGAATGACGTGGTCATTTCAGGTAGTGAAGAGTGCTATGAAGGAAACAACAGGGTGATGTGATAGAGAGTGGCTTGGAGTTCTTCTGTAGATCAGGTAGTCAGAAAAAGCCTCATTGATGATAAAACATTTGAGCTGAAATCTAACAGACAAGAAGGAGTCAACTGTGAAAAGGTCTGAGGAAGAGCATTCCAGATGGAAGAAACAGCAGGTACAAAGGCCCTGAGGTGGAGAGAGGGGACTTGGAGAAATAAAAAGGCGGCCAGAGTGAGTCAAGGCTGGGAGAGTGGAAGGGGATGTAGTCCAGGAGGTAGGCAAGGGCCAGGCCATGCAGGATACTCATGGGTTACAGTAGGAAGCTGGAGGCAGAGCTACATCCCTTCCTTTTGTCCTTAAGTCTTTTATTAAGTTATTCTTTCCTGAGAAGGCTCCCAGATGAACTCAAAGTGAGTCCTTGGAAGTAAGGAAACTCTGAGGTGTAGCTGTGATTCACGTTGCTGCTGGCACTGCAAGTGAGGCTGCGAGAATACTCACTGAAATAACTCCTCGAAGTTGAGCCACCCATTCCTGCTGTGCAGACACACCAGGAGTTTGGTCTTCAAGTCGGGGCAGTCCGACACAATGGACTCCACCACCAGGGCCACCTCCTCACTGGCTACCATGCACCTGGCCTTGGGTGCTTGCAGTCGGTAGACAATGTCTTTTGCCATCATCTGAGTTGTTCCTGGCATGAAGACAAGTCCTGGGAAGGAGAGAGAGCCCCAAGCTGAACAGGACTGATGTACGTTAGGTAAGACTGTGGATTATGGAAAACTTGGGCTTTGTGCTTGAGTGGGGAGAAGCTGTGGCACTCAGCCTTCAGCTATCCCTGTCTTATCCCACAGGACTCGGATCACAGGGAGATTCTTAGAGCACTGACTTCAGAGTCTGACAGACAGCAGGTCTAATCCTGGCCTTGCCACTTACTAGCTTTGTGACCTTGAGCATGTTACTTGTGCCTTTGTTTCCTTATCTGTAAAAGGAGCATAATAATAGTACTTACTTCATATGTAAAATGTCTGTCCTATAGTAAGCATTATAGTGGTGGGCAATTATTATGTAACATTTTAATGTGCATTTAAATCATTATTATGTAACATTTAAATAGCACTTCACAGCTTATGGAGACTTGGTGGTACAGTGGTTAAGACCTCAGGCTGCTAATCAAAAGGTCAGCAATTCAAATCCACCATCTGCTCCTTGGAAACCCTATGGGGCAGTTCTACTCTGTTTTATGGGGTTGCTATGAATTGGAATCTCCATGGCAACGGGTTTGGTTTGGTTTTTGGGTTTACAGCTTATAACACATTTTTATGATAACAGTATCTCCTTCAGTCCTCTGAACCAGTGGTCTCCAAAGTGAGTTTTATAAGACGGTCCGTTGGGGATGAGAAAAGAAAACATTAGAATTTTTAAAAAACTATTGGAATATTAGAATTCTTTTGATATTCTTATCTCATTATTTTTGCATGTTTTATAGTAGACATTATGTATTAGCACAGTAGAACACTGTAAATAATTATACATATATTGGAGGGCGTGTGCCCTGGTAAGGACCCCTGGTGGCATGGTGGTTAAGCGCTTGGCTTTGTGGGGAGTTCTGCCCTGTCCTGTAGGGTCACTATGAGTCGGAATTGACTCGATGGCAACGGGTTCAGTTCTTTTGGGTTTTGTGTATCCTAGTGACACAGTGGTTAAGCACTTGGCTGTTAACCGAAAGGTCGGCAGTTCAAACACACCAGCAGCTCCTTGAGAGAGAAGACCTGGTGGTCTGCTCCCTTAAAGATTACAGGCTAGGAAGCCCTATGGGGCAGTTCTACTCTGTCCTATAGGGTCACTAAGAGTCAGAATTGACTCAAGGGCACACAACAACAACAACATGTGCCTTAAATATTTTTATCGATAGATAATGCAACCAAAGAAGCCTGGAGACCACTGTCCTAAGCAACCCTGGTCCAAAACCCATTGCTGTCAAGTCAATTCCGACTCAGGTGGCTCTATAGGACAGAGCAGAACTGCCTCATAGGATTTCCAAGGCTGTGATCCTTGCAAAGCAGACTGACACATCTGTCTCCTGTGGAGCAGCTGGTGGGTTCAAACCACCAACCTTTCGGTTAGCAACTGAGTGCTTAACCACTGCACCACTAGGGCTCCTTAAGCAACCCTAGTAGGTCTATGCAACTGTTGCCATTTGATGGAAGATGAGATTTGGTCATCACCAGTAAGTGGCAGAGCCAGCCTCAAGCCTGAGTCTTCCCAGTGGTCTGGCATATCAGGGTTTGCCTGGACCACTTCGGCCATGCTTAGCTTATCCCACCCCTCTCACTCTTTCCTAAGCACTCGGCCAAGATGGGCTTGATTTGGAAGAACCACTTCCTCGCGACAAGGAACATAAATGGGACAGTTAGATGAAAGAGAGTAGTTTGCACTTTCCAAAATGAATCAATGGGAAGAAAGTGGAGTGTGTAAAGCATTAAAAATAATCACTACCATTTATTAAGCACTTACTCTGTGCCTAACATTGCACTTGAAATGAACCCCAGTTGATAGATGACAACTTGCCTAAGGATGGAAAAGTCAGGAAGTGGCAGAGCGAGGATTCAAATCCACATTTGCCAGACTCTCAAAACTATGACCTGGGTGGCATACCAGACTACTTCTTTCTTCTTTTTTTTAATGTTAATTGTGCAGACAATACCATATTCTTTTTTTTTTTTAATTGTACTTTAGATGAAGGTTTACAGAACAAATAGTTTCTCATTAAACAGTACACATTGTTTTATGACAATGGTTAACCGCCCCACAGCATGTCAACACTGTCCCTTCTCAACCTTGGGTTCCCTATTACCAGCTTTCCTGTCCCCTCCTGCCTTCTAATCTACTCCTTGTCCCTGGACTGTTGTGCTCCATTAGTCCTGTTTTGTTTTATGGGGCTGTCTAATCTTTGGTGGAATGGTGAACCTTGGGAGTGACTTCATTACTGAGCTAAAAGGTGTCCGGGGGCCATACTCTCGGGGTTTCTCCAGTCTCTGTCAGGCCAATAAATCTGGTCTTTTTTTGTGAGTTAGAAATTTGTTCTACATTTTTCTCCAGCTCTGTCCAGGACCCTCTGTTGTGATCCCAGTCAGAGCAGACTACTTAGTTCTTTTTGAGTTCCCTGAAGTTAGCAAAATTGAATTCCTATGGAGACTTTATTTTATTGGCTATAGTTTAAAAGCTCTTATATGTCATCCCCTGTTGAGAAAATGAATAAGAATGTGATGAATAGGAAGCTGATTAAGGAAACACTTTCAGGGAGTTCAGAACATTCAATAGATATAAAAATATAAAATGATTTCTTTTGCAGACCACTTGTTCTTAATGGCTCAGAAATTTATTAGCATTCTTAGTAGACTGTGATATGAATGTGTTCAGTGGATAAACTCTTGGCGATGGCAAAGTAAAGTACCTTGCTGTGTAGTGTAGTACAAGCAACCCCAGCATTCACACAGAAGATTTACTAATTGTGAGTTAGAAAACATAATCCTCAGCTGTTTGCCCAGCATTTAATTAACTGAATGTTTTTGACAATTCAGCCTTGTGCTGATTTTTAATGGGCATTTTCCTATTGTATAAGTTATATTAAGTGTTGTTAAATACATTTTTGTGTGACAAGTAAACTACCGCTAATCTCGTCCCAATCACAGTTGGTTTCATGTTTGCAAGTTCTTTATAAACCAAAAAAAAAAACCTGTTGCCGTCAAGTCAATTCCAACTCACAGCGACCCTATAGGAAAGTTCTTTATAGTGAATGTAAAAAGAATTTTACATGTTGCTCTTTTTACTAAATATTGGTAATAAGAGCATTTTTCAACATCATTATAAAAACTTTACAATCATCTTTTTAATGATATTCCATCAAGTTGAAGCACCATAATTTCAGCCAGCAATGAACACATCTAAATTAAACATTTAGTCTCAGCTAAGTTATAGTTTATTTAACCATTTCTATATGTTGTTTCCAATATTTTACTATTATAAATGACATTGCAACAAACATCTTTGTATTTTCTACAGTAGTATATCCTTTGGTGTTCTTATTTATTATTAGTTGGTTTATAAACATTTAGTTATGTTCTAGAGCAGGGATTAGCAAAGTTTTTTTTGTAAAGGTCCAGAAAATAAACATTTTAGGCTTTGCAGGCCGTTTGATCTCTGTCCCAATTAGCAACTCTGCCAACTGTAGAGCACAAACAGCCAGAAACATCATAGAGACAAATGGGTGTGGCTGTGTTCCTTTGAAACTTTATCTACAAAAACAGATGGCCAGCCTTGGTTTGCCAATCCCTGTCCTAGAGAGAGGAGTCCTGGTTGTGCAGTGGTTAAAGCACTTGGCTGTTAACCCAAAGGTCTGCGGTAAGAACCCACCAGCTGTTCCATGGGAGAAAGGTGTGGCAGTCTGTTTCTGCAAAGATTTATAGCCTTGGAAACCCTATGGGGAGTTCGACTCTGTCCTGTAGGGTCGCTATAAGTCAGAATTGACTCCATTGCAGTGGGTGTGTGGTGTGTGTGTATCCTAGAGAGAAGGAGCCCTGGTGGCGCAGTGGTTAAGCACTCAGCTGTTAACCCAAAAGTTGGTCGTTTGAACCCACCAGCTGCTCCGTAGGAGAAAGATATGGCAGTCGGCTTCCCTGAAAATTACAGCCTAGGAAAGCCTATGGGGCTGTTCTACTTTGTTCTGTAGGTTGCTATGAGTCAGAATTGACTTGACGGCAACAGATAATGGTTTGATCCTAGAGAGGAAAAGAATCCGGTTGGAATTTTTTTGGGGGGGTACGTTATAAATTACTACTTTGGGATAAAATGTCTCATTGAATCACATTAGTCTTTCTCTCTGGAAACAGGCAGAGGTTTCCCAGCTGGGGTCTACAGTCGTATTCTTAGGAGTCCTTGCATTCTAAAAGATCTTTTCTTCTTTTTGTATTTTCATGTTAATGAGAATCTTGATATATTCAGTAGAAGCAAATTCTGGATCATCTGGATAAGCACATCAAAATCCAGCACTGCAAAGAGGCATCAGTGCCCACGTTTGCTTTTAGAGAGCTTTGGGTTCAAATACCAATCACACAGCTTTCTAGCTGTGTGAACTTGAGCAAGCTGCTTAACCTCTCTGAGCCTCAGTTTCCTCTCCTACAAAGAAGTATCACAGTAATACCTGCCTCTTAAGGTAGTTGCGTCATGATTGCATTATGACATCACGCTTGCTCTTAGTTTCAACTTTTGTTTTTCTGTCCTCTGTAAGCATTGTAGCACAGTGGTTAAGAGCTACGGCAAGCTACGACCGCTAACCAAAAGGTCGGCAGTTTGAATCCACCACCCACTCCTTAGAAACCCTATGGGGCAGTTCTGCTCTGTCCTATAGGGTTGCTATGAGTTGGAATCGACTTGACGGCAGTGGGTCTATAAGCACAGCCTTAGTCAGAACTAACAATCTTACTGTGTTTCTGCATGATTTAGAAATGTTCGATATTGACACTGACCTGTTCGCATACAAGCCACATTTATGAGCCACCACTCTGGGATCCGGGGCAGGATCACAGCCACTCCATCTCCTCTCTGCAGGCCGCAGGGCTTGGTGAGCATGTTGGCAGCCTTTCGAGACAAGGAGCTCAGTTCTCCAAAGCTCCATTTCACTTCATCCCCTTTGCTGTTCACCCACCACAGGGCTGGGCTGGCAGGTCTCTCTCCTTTCTTGACAGGGACACATGAGAAAGAGAGGACAGGCTTATATGGCTGGTGACCAAGTGGTGGGGACATCTGTCTTTATTCCCTCTCCATACCTGTTCCCTTGGATTCTGGTCGGAGCACCCAATACATCTTTGAGGGGAGCTATCCTCTCCTGTTGAGTGCAAGCTTGGTGAGACAACCCATCAGGATGCTCACCCTTGCCTGACCAGTGGGTGGGCATAGGACCCAAGTTGGGCCAATCAGACTTTCTCTCCTTGGACTTTGAGTTTTTGGAGAGGAACCAAAAGCTAGAAATGGTTGGAGCAAGAACCTGTCAATTGGATCCTGGTACTTAACGAACCCCCAGAGAGTTGTCCTGGCCTTTCCCAGACTGACTCTTCAGACTGTCACCTAGTTTTGCAGCTCTCTTACGTTTCACTCCAGTAAATTCCTTTCCTGCGTAAGTTAGATTCTGTTCCATCCAAATAACCCTGATGTACTTGGGTTGACCAGCAACCTGACATCCCTTTGTACTAAAAAAGCTGAAGTGTGGGCTTCACAGGTAACAAGGATCAGGGTGGTGGGCCAGTCAACTGGATTGATTGATTGTGGAGGAGACTTCTCACTTCTGAGTCTACAAAGTGAGTCATACTGCAAAACCTCTTGGCTTTATGTATTACCTGAAAGAAACCATCACTCCCTTCCCTCTTCCTTCTGCCTGGAATGCTGGGGAAACTTCCCCAGTTGGCAAAATACTTCAAAGCCCAGTTGACATTTCACTTCCTTTGTGAAACCTTTCTTAGCCTCTTCTTCTTCTCCCCACTGGTGTCCCTGTATCCTTGCAGCTTTGTGTTCATACTCCAGGAGACTCCATTAACATGCATGTCCTTACCCTACAGGTGTAAGCTCCAGCAAGATCAGGGACTCTGTTCAGGTGTCTTGGGAGCTGTGTGACCTTAGACAAGTAACTTAAATTCTGTGAGCTTCACTTTCCTTATCTGCAAATCCTCAGGATGGTTGTGGGGATTTGATGAAATAATAGAGGTCAGTATTTCTCAATCTTTAGTCATTTGAGTATCACTTTTGCTATTTTTGTCGGATCTGCCTACACCTGTGCTGTTATTCCTTACTTTGTATTCTGTGCATTGACTCACTTTTACTTGTATAAATTTACTTAAGAAGGAAAATGTAATTACCATCATGATTGAAAAATCAGTACCACTTACTAGAAATAGGTTACCAAAAAATAAATACATTGGTAACAAAAGTATGTCCTTTGTTTTTGGGAAAGATTATCAACTTCTACCTGCTGTCTCTTTGTTCAAAATAGAGTTTAGCAAGTATTACTAGTTGCCATCAAGTCATGGCAACTGACTCATGGCGACCCCATGTGTGTCAGTAGAACTGTATTCCATAGGCTTTTTCAATAGCTGATCTTTTTGAAGTATATAGGCAGGCCTTTCTTCTGAGGCATCTCTGGGTGGATTCAAACCACCAACTTTTTGGTTAGCAGCCAAGCACATTATCCATTCACACCACCCAGGGACTCCTTAGCAAGTATTAGAGAGGTGTTAAAGAGGTGATGACTTTGAATGAAGACTTCCTCTCTATTTAATAAGGATTGTTTCAGTCTTATTTAATGCCTTGAATATCTAGTAGCAGAATCCTTGGGTGGCGCAAATGGTTAAGCACTCTACTACTAGCTGAAAGGTTGGTGTTTCGAACACGCCCAAAGGTGCCTCAGATGACAGGCCTGGAGATCCACTTCCAAAAGGTCACGGCCTTGAAAACCCTATGGAGCAGTTCTACTCTGCACACATGGGGTCGCCATGAGTTGGAGTCGACTTGGTGTCAACTAACAACAACAACAACATATCTAGTAGGTAACATCATCTTCTGAGTTTGCGTTCTTGCGGTGCGTTTTGGTAAGCACTGATAGGTTAAGTATTTAGCTCAGTACCTGGTATGGGGTGGGGGTCAGAAAACAGGGACCTTGTCCTGAGGCTATAAATACTGTTGTTCATGCTTGCTTTATTCTTCTCCACCTCCAATTCTCTCCCTTTCTCGTTACCCCAGCTGTGACTATTCTTTTGTGATGCTCTATCCTGAAGCTAAAACTCGGTTTACTCCTCTTTGAATAAGCCTGTGACCAGCCCGAACAATGAATGGGGAGCGAATAGCTGTTGCTTTGAACTTGGAGAAAAAAGAAAGAAAAGACGAATAACTCTGTGTATGTTGTGGAGGCTCCAGAGAAAGACAGCTGTATGTAGCTGAGGATCAGAGATCCTCCTTGGGAAGAGAGGAGGGCAATTGGAAAACAAACAAAGGTAAACAAGAGGGATAGAATAATTGAATTAAATTTGACAAGTGGACCACAGAACAAGGAAATGAAAAACGGAGAAATAAGTGGACATGAACATCTAATGGAAGCCTACCATGATATACCTTCTCCTTTTGGAACCACTGGTCCAGCACATCCCCAGCAAAGTTAAAGTTCTTAGGCAACGTCCTCTCACAGCGATTTATGGCTTCAAAGTCATCAAGAGTCAGAGGTGCCCAAAGCTGGTAATCTTTGTGAAAGTGCTGGCCAGGTGGCTTGGCAAGCCAGAGGAATCTGAATGTCTGGGAGCGAAATAAAATCTTCATGATTTTCCAGGAGTTTTGTCTACCGATACGGACGTGGGAGTACCACAGCCTGTGGGGAGAGATGGGGGAAGAATGTCAGTCTCTCCTGACCCTCACTGTGAGATTGGGAAGTGGACTGATGGCTGCATGACCCTTGGAAATTGGGGAGCACCTGAAAAATACCCCATCCTTCTTCAGAGCTGTTGCAGGCAGCCACTGACTGGTCTCCCTGCCACTGAACTCTCCCTCTTCATTCTATCTATGACCAGATTAGTCTTAAAAAATACAACCGTAGAATTATCAAGCTCCCATCTTCTGCCCCTACCTTCTTCCTCACCAAACAACACACCAACAGAATACTTACTCCCTGGCTTGGCATTCAGGTCTCTTTCATTCGGCCTTATGCTGCTCTGTTCTGTTACCTGCTAACTCCTCTACTTGAATCTCCCCTTCCAGTGAAAGCAGCCTATTCATTTTCCATAAATGTCTGTTCCCACCACTGTGATTTGGCCTGTCGTGCCCCTTGCTTCTGGCTACGCTGCCGGACTCTCCCCTTCAGTTCTCCAGTACAATTGGTTAGAAACTTTGGTTTAAGTCCTGAGTCAGCCATCTTCTGGGTGAAGGACATTGGGCAAGCTACTTATCCTTTCTGTGCCTCAATTTTCACATTTGTAAAATGAGAAATAAAACTATGGGGAAATGTATAGTACCCCCTCCAAGGATTATTGTGAGGATTTAATAAGGCAGTGCATGTAAAATGTGCCTTTTAAATGTTAGCTACTGCTATTGTTAATGATTCTTTTCATTATTAGTATCATGGCAGTGTTTCATGAAACAGTTTTACGGTATGAATCGGGAGACCTAGATTTTACCCCTAGCTCATTCCAAACTAACTTTGTGACGTTCGTAAATTCTCCTTTCCTTTCTGAACTGCCATTTGTAATCTAAAAACATTTTTTTATAACTCTGTGATTCTTTTTTCCTTTGAATTCCCATACCATGCATCTGTATTATTTACATAAAAATCGTCTACTTTGTATTGTTAATTAAAAAAAAAAAATGTGCCCTGTGTCTCTAACCTACCTAGATGTTGTGGACAGAGGCTATGTATTGCATCCTTAGCACTGACTATGACTCACAGAGGATCCTTAATTAAAAAAAAAAAAAAAAAAAAAGTTGCCATAGAGTCGATTCCGACTCATAGTGACCCTGTAGGACAGAGTAGAACTGCCCCATACGGTTTCCAAGGCTGTAATCTTTATGGAAGCAGACTGCCACATGATTCTCCTGTGAGTGGTTGGTGGGTTCGAACTGCCAGACTTTAGGTTAGCAGCCAAGTGGTTAACCACTGCGCCACCAGGGCTCCTTTCAATAATAATAGCTAATATTTATTAACTCTTTGCTGTAAGTCAGCCATTTTGCATTCCTGGTATCATTCAACACTCATATCAAGCTTGTGAGGCTGGTGCTATTATTCTTTCCATTATACAGATGAGGAAACTGAGGCTCATATAAACTGAAGTAGCTTGTCCGGGGTCATCCAGCTCATGGTGGTGGAGGCAAGATTTGAACCTATACGGTTTGACTTCAGAGCTTAACTACTCAACCCCTCTGCTATTCAGTCTCCTTTGTGCAGCCTCCTTCAATGAAGGTTTGTTGTTGATAGTAAACACCCTTACCATTCCACCCTCCAGTTCTATGTACTTGCTTTGCACGATGTAGAAAAATCTGCAGGTGCAGGGGTGCCTGCGTCTGCAGCATAGTGATAATAAATAAACAATAGACAAAAGGTACTGTGTGTACCACTTCCTTGTTGTCGACAAGCCTCTTTGCTGCTCAGAGTGATGTCTAGAGAAGTGATGTAATGTTGAGTATAGCTCTGGAAAAGCGATTTCTGGCAATATAGTTGGTATTCAACTCTCTGCAATGTTGAGGTAGAAGAGGGATGGTGTCTTACCTGGACAATTTTCTGGAAGTAGTGTAGAGGTATTAAGAGTTTAAAAAAGAGGGGAAGGGTAGACGCAGAGGGGGTTATGCCCATGATTTAGCATTCTCCCAAAAGTGAGAACCCATCCCTCTCCTAAAACACACACACATACGCACACACCACATACACTTACATCACATACACGCACACTCATATCCATATGTGCCTTTCTGGGTGGCCTTGGCCAAGTTACTTAACATCTCCAAGTCTCATTTTCATCTGTACAATGAAGGTAATGATAATAATACCTTCTTCATTGGCTAGTTGTGGGGTTAAGTGAGTACCTTAACACAGTGCCTGGCACATGTCTAGGATTCAATAAATGCTAGATAGTAAAAATCAAACCTCAAAACCGTTTATGGCAGGAGGCTTTAGCTGCTTGACATACCAAAAAAAAACAAAAACAAATCTAGAAATCTGTTGGATTGGAGCCACTAACATTTTCTTCTGTCTGCCCCATTTTAACGTCCTGTTGTCACTGTGCACCAGGGTCTAGGGACTGAACTGAGCCCCCATCAGCCTGAAGCATTCTAGCCTTTACTTCCATCCTTTTGGCCATTCTTCGTCCCACTTTAATGATTTGGAAAGACTTCCAAGAAATGGGAAACTGGAAACATTTTTTCTTCCTAAGGAGAATGATGCAGAGAATATAGCAAAAGTTTCCCCTGCAAATCTTCTCTCCAAATTGAAAGATTGTGATTTTTTGTGAGCTCTTATTATAGCTCCATGGATAAATTTTCCAGATCTTAATAAATCACTGAACTAACATGCCACCAAATCTAAAATGAAATATCACAAACAGATCTGATCTGAATATACATTTCAGCATTTTGCTGTATAAGTGTTATGGGCATAAACAGAGTGAAGCAGGTCTTAGATATACAAACATAGTTATTAGTATTTAGTAATAAAAAACAAACCAAGATATCTCAGAGTTCAGTTTTCAATTAAACCTTAGAAATTTTTGCTAGTCACTTTCTTTTCTATGTCTGTTCTGCCTTTGATTTTCGGAACATTTGTTTTGATACGGAGACCATGAAATTTTAAAAAGTCGCCATTTTGCATCTAACAGAGCCATTTCCTGACTTGAGATTGTGTGGGCAATTCATATGATTCCAGGGTCAAATCTGACGGTCATTGACTGTTTTAGGTCAAAACATTATCTTTGTAGAAATTTGCATATAAAGGTGTTTTTAAAAATATCCCCAGAAGGTATCCGTAAAAGTGAGAGAGTTGAACTAGATGATTTCTAAAGTATTAGTGATTTCCAGAGGGTAAGAATAAACTTGGAAACTTTAACAGTGAAAATATTTACTGAGTACTTAGCGTGTGCTCATCACTACATGAAGTACTTCCATGCAATATCTTGTTTAATTCTACCAACAGCCCTCGGAGGTACTATTATTATTTTACGCATGTGGAAACTGAGGCACAGAGAGGTGCATAATTTACTTAAGGCCACTCATCTAGCAAAGAGCAGGAATTCCAGCCCGCCGTTGTTGTCTCCAGAGCCAGTGCAAGGAAATGCTCTCATAATTTTTGCTACATTTCTGCCAACCCTCCCAAAGTAGGTGAGTGGTCCGTTTTCCTGTCAATGGGGCAAGTTACCCAGGGTTGGGTCTGCAGTTACACAATTAGGCCAAGACGACGTGACTGTTCTGTTACTGCTGTACTATAGATTTAAATACCTTTACAACTTCTCATCTACTAGATTCACCCCCATGTTACCACATGCATTTTTCCTTTCGAGAAAATGGTATTATTGGTCCAGAAATACCTTCAGCTCCTTCACAAAGACTCAGCTCTGGATCTGCCAAAAATCATGTCCTTTTTTATTTTCTTTTGGTAGCATCTATGCCATCATAGCCCTGAGTCTCTGGTGTATACTTGGGAGAATCATAATCGCCTGGGAGGAGAGTTTTCGTTGCTTGGGACAACCTGTTGTTAAAGGGACAGCAACTTATAAGACACAGCTGGGAGGGGAAAAAGGAAATGCAGGAGCAACCTCCTTTCATGGTTCAGTGCCAAACAATGGCTAAGCCCCGATAACGTTAGTGGATTATTCTTGTCCGTGGAACTGGTGATACTGAGATCCATACTGCTCAAATGGCCTATTATCAGAGCCTCTCGACATAATTATCATGTAGCCTGGGACATTGGCATGCTCCATTCTTGTAGCATAACTGGATCTGGCCTGGAAGACCTTTCAAAGTAGGACAGTCAACAGAATCACATCGAAGCCACCAACTCATTGATTAGAGGCGATTACGAGAAACTCCCCCAAACTCCTGTCTTTTATCGAGCACTTACTTTGTGCCAGGTACTATTAGATGCCTGGCGTGATGTTATGTCATTTGGAAATCATCCTGAGACAATGTTGCTATGACTGGTTTGAATATAAACTTTGCCTGTCTGTGCCCCTGTGAATGCCAGTTGCTGGCAACAAGGATTGGGTTTCATGAAGTCTGTGCCTAAATGTTGCTTGTTGGTGACAGTGATGGTGACAATGGTCAGACAGTGGCACTTTTCATCTTAAGAATTCATTGGTACTCTGCATGATAGCCAGCGGAATCAGACAGGAAGAGGGCTGGGCTCCTTGATCCTGTAATAAATGAAGTCCAACATTAAGTCCAGTGTGGTAGGCTGAATAATGATGTCCACCTCCTTAATCTCCAATGTATGTGAATATGTTATTTTATATGGCAAGAGGGACTTTGCAGATGTGAGTAAATTAAGGACTTGGAGATGGGGAGATTATCCTGGATTATTCAGGTGGGCCCAGTGTAATCATCAGTTGCTGTCGATCAGTTCTAACTCATGGCGACCCCATGTATGTCAGAGCTCCCAATTGAGTTGGAAAGGCAGAGGAGCACATATGAAAAAATAACAGGAGTACTGAACTTTGCATGATTAGGCATCTAGTTGCTCCAATGGGGATCGTAGTATGCAAGGGAAAATACATGGATTTTGTGGAGTCTGACTGGCCTGGTCTTGAGTCTTAGATCTACTACACACTACCTTTGTGATTCTGGGCAAGTCACTTAGTCTTCTGAGTCTCAGATGTCTCAGTTTTACAACAGGAATAATCAGAGCCACCTCAATAGGATTGCTGTGAATAAATTACATGGAATAGTTAAAGCACTGGTATGGCACTTGGCAAATAACACAGGTTTAACCAATGATGGTTGTATCTCCTCCTCCCCTGCACACTCCATCCCCCCATCGTAGCAGCTCAGGAACAAGAGAGCTCACTGTGGGCTGGGCTGATTGGGGGGCTTCTTGGGGGAGGTGAGATTGAATTAGGCTTTGGAGGATGACAAAACTATAAGTAGGTGGAAAGAAGATCAGGTATCTCAGAAAAGGACTACAGCATGAGTTAAGACCAAAAAACAACAAAAAATAGACTTGTTGCCGTCAAGTGGATTTTGACTCCTGGCAACCCTAGGTGTTACAGAGTAGAACTGTGCCATAGGGTTTCCTTGGCTGTAATCATAATGGAAGCAGATTGCCAGGCCTTTCTTCTGCAGTGTAACATAGTGGCATCAGAAGCTGCCTAACTTCGGGGGAGAAATGAGAATCAAGGTCATCAAGATCAGCATAAAGCTGATTCCTATGAGGTGGAAGTCAGACATACCTCCACTCTTCAACGTTTTTACCGGTTCTGAGACCAGCTGCCTTCCCCACGACACTCTCTGTTTCTCTGCTGGGTTCGATAATTCGTTGCAATGGCCACACAGAACTCACAGACCATACTCACGCTTATGTGTTTTATTAGGGAAGTAACAGGCTACAATTCAGGATGAGGATCAACTTGGAAGTAACAGGAATAACTCAGGAGACAGTCAGGCCAGCTTCCAACCAGGACAGCTCTCAGCTTTCTCTCCACCATGCTCCCAGGCAGGTCTTGTTTCTCAGCCTGCCCTCTGCTGCCTACCCGCTTGGGCCTAGCCTCTGCCTTCCTCAGGCAGTGCTACAGATCTACGGAATTAGCTATTAAGTGTCTGGAGGCACCCTACTCTGCCAGCAAGCTTCCTGCCCGAAAGCACTCAGCTTTCTTACTCGATGGTGGGCAAGCCCATTGCAGCCCTCTGCCTTCTCCTGCTGCTGCCGTCTGCTGCCACTGCTGTCTCATGCCATCTTTAGTGTTA